AAAGGAAAAAGGGCCCAGGTGGTAAAGGTAATATACAAACTTTTACATGTACATTAACAGCCAATCTCCTTGGCTAGATGGGTTGGTCTAGAGAATTTAACTAGGGACATTCATTTTATACAATGCCCTATGGAATTACATGTATTTCAGATATACATGTACTAATCCTAGCCCTTCAATGTTGTTTAAATTCTCTAAGATGATTTGGGGGATTTTGAAGGATTTAGGCTGGTAGAGCATGGTAACCATTAATGACAGGTGATTTAAGACTAATGCTGTGTCATAGTCTAAGAATCTACAGGGTGGTGGACTTTCTAGGATTTAATGAGGCTACTCATAAAAAATGCCCAGGAAAGTACTGAGGAAATAGAAAATGACATTGATTCATATTCATGTTTGTTTTCTAGTCTTACAAATCATCGGCTGCATCACGTACTGACGTACATGAATGCAATTATTTGAGTTTACCATTAAGTGATTTGCCATCTTTTGACTTTGTACACACGACATGACGGTTCATGATAACCATGATTTGTCTGTTTGTGGTGCCACTGAGGAAAGGTTTTGCTTTCATCTTTTTGTGGCAGACTTTTAGCCTTCAGTCTCTCAGTCACTTTCCTTTTGTACCGTTCTCCACTTTCTCCTTCAACAGATGGGTTATGCAAGTTTTAGCCAGAATTCCGAGGGAATTCATCTGAGACTTTTCAGCCGGGCATTCATCACTTGTGATCTGAATGAGACGGAATGCAATGTGTTTGTCAGCGCGACATTGGAATGACATCCACACTCTTGAAATTAAAAGTATGCTGGTATACAGGTTTTGCATAGTAGCCATCTTGCAGGGCATTTCTTTTGTTCCACAGGCAGTGACAGGAAACCTCTTTTTTGTACACCCTGTGGAACAAAAGCACCGGCCTACAAGATGGCGGCCATGCAAACCCACCATACACATTTTATGGATTTTATTCTTTGTGGAAATGAAACCAAGGGTTCCTCAAAAGTCCGTAGGCACAGCACCCTGAAGGCTTAAGAAACCTGGAGAGACAACAAGGAAGATATTTTCAGTTTAAGAAGCAGGAGGAAAAACCCCCAAATAATACTCCCAGGAAAAACCCACAGAATCAGGTTGGGACGTAATCTGCAAATGAAAATCATCATCATCACACTAGTGTTTCCAATGCTGCTTAGTGTTAAACTGAAATAATACGGAGATCAAGCTGTGTCTAACTGATGGGACTTGAGGGGTGACCGTAAAAGGTTTTTCCTGTAAAGAAGTTGTAGTTTTGAAACAGATCTCTGTTTGTGTGTGTTTGTTTTTTGAACTTAGTGGATGTACACGTACGTGTGTATGTACATGTATTTTGAAATTGTTAAGGTGATAGAATCACCCCTTGCCACAGTATGATGTCTTGTCGTTAAGAACATGTTGGGAGATGGGATGCGCAGCCCCCATGCATTTTGTTGCATGGCAAAGTATTTCCAAATCCTGGAACAACTGTCGTAACTGTTTCTTGAACTCGA